AGTACTGTTTTTAAAAAATATAGTCATGATACTATTTCATTTTTAGAAACAGCTCCATATTGACCTACTAAATTTATCATTGTTGTGAGAATTGTCATTCAACTATAAGTGCTGAACTAAGCATTTTAATAACTCTTAAGTGTTGACTTCCAGTTAAGTTAGATAAGTGCACAACAACAACATCACAAAAGTAAATACATAGTGAGAAAGGTATTTTTATATTTTTTATGATTTAAATACAAAACAAAATGCCCCCAGTGTTGGAGGGGAGATATTCAAAATTAGAACCACTGTTTTTTATGCCAACTGTTATTATCTTCTGCTGTGAAGTGATGATGGCTCAGCCAACTCCTCTGTTCAGGCACAGATCTGAAGGCAAGGGATGAGGACAACAATTAGGTAGCAAGGATCCATTTCTGCCCAAGAGCCACATTTTAGGGATGCTTACTGAAGACCTTGCTTTCAATCTTAGATTTTTTTTTTGAGGTTAATTTTATATGATTTCACATCTATGTCAAATTCCAGTTGAACATTTGTCTGAAGGTTTAAACATTTCTTAGCAGCCTCACCATCACTTTTCATTTTCCAAAGTGAGTATGGGCCAGTTGCTATTATTCTATCTTGATCGAATGACTCATCCTAATCATATATCGAGTACCAATAATACAGTATTGATTCTTGCTGGGGTGTGAGTAAGGCTCTCTGTTGCTCTTTTTCCCAAGCTGCTGCCTCTCACTCTTATAACCATTTGAGTGTAGTGAGAGTGACATCTCGTTTATCAGGTATCTTTATTGGAAAAGCATATTTTACGTTTCAGAATTGCTAGAATAAGGTGACCTGGAGAGGTGAAGAGGGTTGTTGAATCGACTCTGAGATTCTGCAGTTCAGAGGTGAATTAAGCTGTTCAGATAGATTTTGTATCAGTTGCTGCTCAGTGCTGTGACCTCAGGCTTTCCACCTGCATTCCTCAAAGTCGTCTGTACCCTACCTGATGTTTCTTCCACCTCTACTTTAAAACACCAGGGATGTGTCAGAGATGTCCTCTCACACTTTTTCTCTCCAGACTCTCAGTACCCTTCTTAGTTTCCTTAAGACGGGTGCTGAGCAACAAAGTCAGGAGGGCGATGCCCTTTCCTTTCTGCCCCCTCCTCCTGACTCACCCAGTAGGAGATGGCTCTAAGGAGACCAGCATCACTCTGAGAGCACCTCCAGGGCCCTGTGAGCTGGAGGCTGCTGCACTCCCAAACCTGCTCTCTGGGATACAATCCAGCCTCCTGTCCCTCACCCCTTGCCTACTTAGTTTTGTTTTTCCCTGCCTTCTTAGAAAATAGTCGTTTTAAAAATGCTTCAAAGTTATTTTTATGTATATAAATACAAATAATATGTATGTATACTCTTGACAAAAATTTCACACTTTACAGATCTAAGGTAAGATTTTTCTGGAATCTGTGCCTGGCCTCCATTCGAAAATACAGTTACCTGTTCTCTCCTGTGTATAGTCTCCTCCTC